TCCGCCGCGTCCCGCCCCGGCCCCGCCGCGTCCCGCCCCGGCCCCGCTGCCATAGGCTGCGGTTCGCCCGGCCCCGCGCCCGGGGCCGCCGCCGGAGTGGCGGAGCGCCGCTGTCACTTGGGCCGCGCCGCTGCCCGCGGCGGGGGGTGGAGGCGGGAGCACCGGCCCGGCCCGGCCCGGCGAGACACGTTCTCCAAGTGCGGCTGCCCGGAGTTTGCTTCCCCTGAGGCGGGGCGGGCGCAGCCGGCGCGGCTGAGGAGGAGAGCGCGGCGCGGTGAGTAACTTCCCTGCCCCGCGCGGTGCCGGGCGGCTCAGCCTCCCTCAGGGGCAGCGGCGCCGGGGGTCCCCGCGGGGGCGGCGGGGCCGGGCTGAGCCGCTCTGCGCGGGCAACAAGTACGGGAGAGGGGCCGGGCCCCGGAGCGTCCGTGCGGGGCTGAGGTGGGAGCTTGGGAGCAGCGTCCCCGCCCTGGAACCCCCGGCTCGGCGGCGGGGCTGAGCTCGGCGGCGCCTGCTCCTGCAGGGCGTCTCTGCGAGGCTGAGCCGTGGGCTCGGGTGCTGGAGACCCCCTCGGAAAGCGCCTGGTTCTTGGTCCCCCGATACACCTATGCTGCTCTCGTGTGGCTTCATTAAAGAAGCTCCTTCCTGGAAAAGAGTCAGATTACTGCGTGCGGGGGAGGCAGAAGAACAGCTGCGAGCGAACCCCTGCTGCAGGAGCGGGTTTCAGGTTGTGTGTTTTACAGCTGCGCCAGAGGAACTCGGGGCTGGCTGCGAAATGCCGCTGGACTCCGTGTGGTTGGCAGCTATTTTCAAACGTTCACTCTAGCCCTCGGAGCTCTCACCCACACTCCCTGGTTTCCCCCTTCATTTGTTAGCTCTTCTTACTGAAAATGTGGTTCGAAAACTTTTCGTCTTCTATACTTTTAACAAGGCGTATTTTAAAATTATCATTGCTCTTGACGGAATCATGGTACTTAGTCAACTAACTGAGAAAACCGTTCCTGGAGCTCTGGTAGGAGTGAATCTGGTAGTCCCTGCTGACTTTTCTTGCCGTGTTCATAATGCACAGAGCTGATTGATTACGTCTCAGAAAAATCTATTAAGTACTTCTGAGCTTCCTTTAATTCCTTTTTTAATTACACGATATTAAGGGTTTGGTTTTTGTCTGTTGTGCAAAGTAAGAAATGTCTGGGAGGGATTAGCTTTGGACTACATTTGATAGTCTCTGGAAATAAATTTCCAGTCACAAATACTTTCGAACTTCTGTTCAAAATAGGACTGGTCTGAGCTGCACTCTCATTAAATAAGCACTTTGATTTACTGATTTTAATTTTTTATTCCTCTACCCACTTTTTCTGGCTTTGTAATGCTTTATTCTAAGCTGCAATCCAGCAGCAGATCAAGGAGGCTTAGGAAGAAACATCAGATGGTTTTGGTTAGTGTCCCTACCACTTGGAAAATAAACATGCTAGTACCATATGCTGCCCCGACTTTATTAAAACAAATTTCCTCAAAATGGAAACAAGTGTTTCCATATCAGTGTACTTGCTAGAACCATAAGACTTAAGAGGAGTCCTTTATAATTATTCTTGGTTTTGGTTTTTTTTTTCTAATTATCAGATCACTGAGTAAGAAATCCTCTCTCTTGAACACAGTGCAATAGAAAATTATTAACTCCAGAGTCAGCAGGCTGCAAGAACACTATTGTGCCCCAGTAGATTTTTTAAATAAAAAAAAAAGGTTGTAATATTATGTTTTAAAATGCTTGTACTGCTGCAATTCTAAAATCTGTGGATATTAAAAAAGTTCATAATTTTGCAATGTATTTTCAGTACTGGATTTCTGTTTTCACCCTTAACTTTGCTTGGTGACTTCAGCAAGAGGGAGCCCAGGGCCTTGGACTCATGTCTGAGATTTGCAAACGCGGGATCTTTTTGTAACACTGCACCTGAATTTTGTTATCAAAACAACAAAAAATTGTGGCAGTTTCGGGACAAAACTTTGACAGAGGAATGTAAGCCAGTGATGGGGTGGAAAAATACTGTTCTCCTGAGATAGGTTAAAAAGTGAGCTTACTAAAACCTGTCCTGCCAAAAATGGTGGCTTTGACATTGCAACATTTGGTATTTGTTTGTTGTGCACTCTCATGGAGGCACTGATCACCTCGGTGAAAGTTTTTTTGTAAGCCTTTACCCATACTGAGTGGTCTCAATCTTGGTATATATTTATGAGCCCGTATTACTAAAAAAAACCCAGAAATTTGTTAAGTACTAGTTAAAACTGTATACTTGAAAATATGCCAATATCCCCTCTTCTTTCATCTCATTTTTCTTTACTTCTAAAAAATGTTAACATATTTGAAAGCAACTGGCAAGAAGTTATACCAACAATATCAAAGAGAAATGTGTAAAGACATGATGTGTACTAGACATTAAATTAATATAAATCATTGCCTTGCAATAGCAAAATGTTGCTTGTTTAAAGAGCTACTAGACATTAAGAACTGTAACAAATAAGAAAACAACATTCATTGGTTGTTAAAATTCTCCCTGGTGTACAAGGCACCAGAGGATGGTTGCCTGTTGATATGGCAGTGTCTCTGATATTTGAAAATTCTTCGTTGATTTGCTCTGCAGAAGCATTTTTAACGTGACACCACTGAATTCCATGCTGTTTAATTGCTTTATTAGGTCAGTGGAGCTTGTTCTTTAGAAATTGTAGTGCCTTTTGAAGATGAAAATGCTTTTAAATATTAGTATTAACTTATATAATTGATAGGTCAAAGTTTCTATGGAGCAATAAAAATTAGTGATATTGTGGAGTGTGCTTTTTGTGATTTTTTTTTTTTTTTTTTTTGGTCCTAGTTCTATAGATGCTTGTGCTTGCATATGCTTAATTTAAACATCCAAGTATTCCTTTTGGAATTAGAGGGCCTGTTCTTAGGCTTAATGATAAACCTGCCTGTAAATGTTTTCAGGGTTGGGATTTATGTTCGCAAAATTCATGGGCTGAACCTGTCATGTGTTTTCCCACTGACTGCTCTGTATTCTGCATGAGATAGTGTAGGTAGCTGATAGGACTGGTCTGCACCTCAACATGTGTAGGGATGCCCCCAGCTCCACTGTTGTGTTACAGAGGATATCAGTGCTGTACCCGAGCTGACTTCATCCTTGCAACGTGCTCTGCGATACTATGGGCTTGGCTTTTTATTTCTGAAGCACTTTGGTGGTACCAGAGATGTCAGTCCTTTATGTTCTCATAGATGGTTATTTCAACTGATGTCAGTTTAGCAAGTAATTTGCGGGCTGGAACAGGAGTGGAATCTCTTGCAGAGTCTCTCCTGCTGAGCTGTGTGTTGGGTGGTGAACACAAAAGCCAAAGTATGCAGCTGTTTGATATAAAGTCAGATAACTTGTGAACATACAAGATTTCAAACTGCTTTGCATTTTTTCCATTCAAATAGTGGGAACTATTTTTGGCTAGAAACTTGGGGTAGCATAGCTCAATATTTGCAGTCTTATTTTTGCTTCAAATAAACAAGTTGATATTGCTCTGGAGTTGTGGCATGTTGTTAAGAATGTCTAGAATTTTTGCTGTCATCACAATAAACCAGACCAAATAGGGTAGGAAAGTAATTGTTAGATTATAAATTAGTCAGATCAATGTTTCATGGAAGGTAATTTTTACCCAGGAATAGTTGCTTCCCTTTGGGATGGAGTGGTGTTGTATTTTGCCTGGCTGTTCTTCCTTCATTCCACAGAGAGGAATCACTGAGTCATCACAGAATGGTTTGGGTAGAAATGGACCTTACAGATCATCCTTTTTCAATCCCCCTGGGAAGAGACACCTGCCACTAGACCAGGTTGCTCAAAGCCTCATTTTGGAGTAGATGATCTTTGAATATTAACCAGTTTCTTTGGGCTCCTCTTCCCTCAAGGCCATTATGATCCCATGATGCTCAACTGAGCAGATCCCTGAAGAGGCCAGTCCGCTCTCTTGAAGCCCAGGGTACTGACCCTGCTATGCTCCCTGCTCGCTGCCCTAAGGTTCTCAAGCCCCACTATTCCAAGTGACTTTAGGAGGCTGCACCGTCACTGCAGCCAAGGCTCCCTCCTAGCTAGCTTCACATTTCGTACCAGACCTTCTTTGTTGGTGAGAACAAGTTTCAGCATAGCACCTCTTCTTGCTGGCACTTCTGTCACTTGGAAGAGGAAGTGTTTTTGTATTTCATTGGAGAGATTTGACACTTAACCACTGCTAGATGGGCCTTACAGAAGAACTGTTGTTCTACAAACAAGATGCAATTTGCTCAAGTAGCATATCCAATATATGAACTAATCTATTTTTGAAATGTTGTAAATGGTAGTAATAAGTCGTTCTATATAATGAAATAGAAGTAACCGTGTCTTATTTATCCTTTTTCTAGCAATAGAGCACAATGGAAAGTGGTCCATATTAAAAGAGAACCCATATGTGCCAAAGGGACAAAGGGAGGCGCCCAGTAGTTGCAGAAAGGCAATCCAGGACTTTTGGATTGTGTTGCCTGGAGTGGTGTAGTGCTGTCAGATATTATTCTGCACTGTGGGGAAAAATGAGCTACATGCTTCCTGCTTCTGCTTTGTACATTCCTTGCAGTGGGAGTGATTTTGAAGTGTGATACAGGCTGTATTCCCCAGCTCCCAAGATCACACTACCACTGCGTGTTCCCATGACCTTCTCCAAAGAGGTTGCACAAGCCCAGTGTAAGATGTCAGGATGCCTGTGTTGTGCATTCCCAGGGGCTGGCTCTTTAGAAGACAATTGGGAGTAAGCACAGTTTATTATTGGGTTCCAGTCAGCGTTCTTAAATGCTGACACTTTTATCGACTCTTGCAGTTGTATGCATTGTGTAGATTTTTGTTATGTTCTTCACATGCAATTTTTGCTTGAATCTGAGCTCTCTGCCACAGGCAACCTGTCACCCTGAAAACTCAGCTTCTGAGCTTGCTAACATAGTTTTCTAAAGACTTTCCCAGGACAGTAACTGTAAACATAGATATGTGTACATTCTTTCTGTTACACATCTTGTGATGGGCATCTCTCATGGCCAGTGCAGTGAGAAAGTGTTATCCTGACCATCCAATCCCTGGCCGTGGTCAGGAGCCTATAAATCCTGGGGGGAAAAATAAACTTTCTTCTTTCCACCGCACCTCAACCTGTGTCCGCGTGATCTATTCATCTTCACCGGTAACAACAACCCTCTCTTACTGCAGTGTCGTTGTCAAAAACTTTGGCCTTAAAAGACCAGAGAATACTGGTGATGGAGGATTTTAAGCTCTTACCTTCCTGTGGCTTTCTTTGTCCTTCACATTGGTGCTAATCCTTGTTTCAGAGCTCATACATAGGAAGAAGAAAGCTGGTGCAGCAGAGGTTTCTTGGCACAACAGAAGAAAATTGAAATTCAACCAAAGCTGATAGAGACTGCCTTGTGTACCAAAATCGATTTGCATAGAGTCATTTTCTGTGGTTGCTGTCTTCTTCTGGGACAAGCTGTCGTGTTCTGCCACAGGAATGTTATGTTTGCTTTGAAACGACCAACCCAGGACGCTTTTATTATGATACAAAGTAACATTTCAGAACTCAGGTGTCCTGATTTTTCTGGCCATGGAGTTTTGGTTGGCATTCCTGAACGAGGTCTTAATATTGAAAAACAAACAAAAAAAGCTTGGCTGATATCAGTGAGCCACCTTTGTTGGTGCATTTTACTTTGTCGTAAGTGAAAGTGCTTTTTATCTCCATACCTTGCAGTCCCCAGATGAAATAGGCTGTATTGTAATGGCAGTAGAATAGAGCCCCTGGTGGGGGTTTCTGTGGCTATGTTATCCAAATAATTCCTCTAATTGACCAGCAAAACCAGAACACCAAGAAGAAAGCCCATAACCCCTACAAGCTAACCACGTTCTGACTTCAACACAGCTGGTTCTTCCGCTGCTATCTGTAACAGCTTATGCAGAACAGTACATTAGAAGTCCATCCTGCAGCCAAGTAGCCTCCATCTAGAGCAAGTCCCATTTCAAGGAGGATGCTGGAAATATTAATGTCTGGATGTGCCTCATGGATATTGCACTGAATGTCTGTGATAGATTAAATACTTAAGTATGCATCTTACAAGTTGCACAAGTTGCCTCTATGTGTTTGGAGGTTAAAAGTTACAGAAAAATTCCAAACTAGTTCCTGCTATTGCCACTTCATGCAGAGGAGAATTCCTTATTGTTCCTTCCAAGTTCATGCATTCATTTACCAGTGGTACACACTTCTTTGACTTCTTGCCTCTTCTTACTGGATCTATTGCCCTTTGCACGTAATTTTCTCTTACATTGCTTTTTTTAAATCGAGTTGTTAAACACTTGTTTATAACCAGAATGAATTAACTGTAAGTGGAAGTTGATCGATGCATCACAAGACCACATAGATCCTGATGTGTTGTGTGAGTGTTCTGATGATGTTGAAGAGTTTCCTGTAAACCCTGTCCTGATGGAGCAGCTCTAAGGACCCTTGGCACAGTGTGTTTGTACCGCAGCTCTCAGCCAAACCCACACTGTGTCCTCCTGGGGGCTGCCCCAACTCTGAATTGAATTAACTTGCTTTTTTAAACTTGAAAAACTTTTTCAGTCAAGCTTCTTCCAGAGCAGGTTGATGAGGGTTTCCTTCTGTATGGCCTCTTTTTCCTGTTTCTTTTTTAATGTCTTGCTTGTTCTAGAGCAGTTTTCTCAGCCTTTTATTGTTATTGACAGAAGCTAATGAAGGCTCACCCGGTGAATTAATAAAATAGTTCTTTCCTGCCTTTACGTTAATTAAAAATTAGTACCAGTCAATTCTTGGATTATTTTTACAATTAGTCCATAGCTTAACTGTAATTTCTGCTTCAAATGAAGGTCTAAAATTCACAGGGTTCCCTGCCTAGTATTAAACCAATATTGAATGCCTTCAGATTTTAGGTGTGCTTCTTAACTATTTTAATTCCTTTTAGATGTTAAAGATAAATCTAGACTCATTCAGATTCAATATTCTAAAAATACAGATATGTTTGTGTACTTGTGGATCTGTCATGTATTTCATGTAAATGTCTTAAAACTGTGTGTAAGTTAGGTCTGTACGTACACGTAAGAGCTCCCTAAGAATTCAGTGACAGCTGCCAAATGTTCTTTTATTTGAAATAACTAGTAAAGAAGGTATCTTTCTACTTTGGCAAAGTAACTACTCTTCTTTCCTGTTATCAGGGGGTGGCTCAGCATGTCTGTTCAGCACTGATACTTTTATATTCTATAGCTGGAAGGGACACGAGCTGAATCGGGCTTGACCACGTGTGTAGCAGCAAATACACCTGTCATGGTGTATTTATACAGTGTAGGAATGACCCTGCATAAATAATCCTTAAGGTTTTAGTTGTGAAGTGGGGGTTTTTCCCACTTTGAAATCCATTTTGACTGTAGCTAACTTTCTATTGAATGTGGCTCTCCTGCTTTTTTGCAGGGAAAATAACTTTGCGGTGAAGCAGAAGTGAAGGTGATTCAGTGGTGGTAAAAAGGAGAATCAGCAGCACAGCTTGTCTGAGCACTTGACCTGAGCTGTCTTGCCGTGTAAGCAGAAAAAGAGAATCTGTGGGAAAATTAACACTAAAGTGAGTGGTAATACAAGATTTTGGGTTACTGGAGTGTGAAATGAAAACTGTTAACAGTCCTTTCTTCTGCAGTAAGGGATGTATGCCATTGACCAGAGAAACGCTGTAGAAGTGTAATGTTTTCCTAACTCATATTTTTAAAAGTTTAGAAAGCTGTGAAGCCAGGAAATGTTCCTAAGTGTTATGCTGTTATGAAGTCGAAGATACTTGACTAGGAATTTTTGGGTACAGCTTGACTTGTTGCCTTCTACAAACAATCAGATGTGAGTTTCACAACAGGTGAAGCCTTTAAGCCTCAAGTTCAGTGAAGGCAACTTCACACAGTAACGTCTGCATTGTGCTAAGATTTTTATATTTGCCTCAAATTGACAAAGAGGAGAGAGTTATGTTTTAGCTGATACTGACTTTGAGGATAAAGAAAATGGTTTGTTTTAAAGTGTTCCTATAGGTGAGTCTGTCTATGCCTAATAACCTGCTAAGCAGGTTAAGTTGATATGCAGGAGAGAAGGGACTTCACCACAATGCACACATGTGTGTTAGGAGCAATTGCTATGTATATATAATTTTTCAGGTGATGTATCGCATGTTGAGTCCTATTTTGGCATCCCTGTAGCTTGACAGTACAATTGAATCCACAGTAGGGACTCCATAGGGTCCTTTATGGGCGTGAGAGTCCTTTTGCCTGCTCCTAAGGAAGTCACTGAATTCAGCACAGTTATGATGATGTGGTTACAACAAGGCATGCCTGATGGGCTTTCTGTTCTAAGTCTCAACTCTGTACAAGTTGCTTGTACAGATCTGGTTAACATTCTGCTTGTGATTGAACTTTACATGTGTGTCTGTATATATAAAATTAATTTCTGTAAGGTGTAAAACAGTGTAAAAAGGGGAAAACAAACCCTGAACTTTGCTTTCTTTCTTTTTCTCCTTTCAGATCTTAGAAATCCTGCCAGATTTAGCTCTAACATTAAGTATTTTTATGGAAGAATGGAGTAGAAATACAGTAGTGAAAGAAATTATAGAAGTCTGATCCAGGATGTTTTTAACAATTTAACTACTGTTCAGTTTTGTAGGTTTTATTTTTTAGTTGTGAAGTAAATACTCTTCTGGTGCTGTCAGCATTTACAGCAGTGAGGAGCTTCAATAATGCACTGTTTAAACAGAAGAGCAGTATTGTTAATTGTCAACACTGATTATAGAAAGTGTCATGAGCAGTTTATGGGTTTCATTGTGAGGATTTTTCACATAAATCTCCACACCAAAGCTTCGGAACACAGTAAATGGGTGATGGAAATATAGGAACCTTTGTAAGGTAAAAGGAGTTATTTTCTTAATTTTCCAGTTGATGAGTAAACATGAAAGGAAAGACATCAAATTGCTTTTGCTATCATGATATATTTTTCGTAGTACACAGGTTGTTCTGTCCTTATTTAATATTAAACTTAGTTTTCTGGCATAAAATTGTCCTGCTTCTCAAATTTGAAATAAATTTGAAGCAATTAATAAATGGAATAATCAAGCAATCATTTAAACAGAATTAAAACTGCATGTAAATGTATTTAAGTATTCATCTATAAAATTGCATTTTAGTATCGTGATAAGTCTTTATTAGAAAAAGTGCTGTAATTTAACATGAATTGACAAGGATTAGGATTTAATAATGAATTAATTACTGTTTCCTGTTTGAGGGGGAAGATGTTTTCCCCAAAGATTTTGCTTTTAATACTACCATCTTTTTTCGCAGATGTTTTTGAATACATTCTGCATTGTTTTAAAACAACTCTAATCTTTAATGCGATTATCTGTAAATTTCCTTTGTTTACTGGGGGATTTTTTCAGATTATCAAATCATTTTATATACAAATCCTTCTTTCCTTGGTGCATACCATAGCACCCCATTGCACGCCCAAGGCAGTGCCCCAAATGAAACCAAGTGACATCAATTATTGATGATTACTCTGCCTTCTGGGAAGTGAAATCGAGTCTCCAGTCTCCATTCGAGGTTTGTTTCAAACACGAGGTAATGAGAGCAGGTGCAGGGAGACACTGGAGCGTGTGCATTGATTTGCAGTGTAAGCACAGGCAGGTGACTTATGAGTACACAGGATTGAGAAGAGAAAATGGGTACAGCCAGAGTTGTCATTGCTTCTGAAGATCTTGGGTGGTTGTGTTTTCGTGGTACCAACACACCGAGAGAAGCTTTTTTCTCATCATGGTGGCAATGTTTCATTACACTGGGACATGTGATAGCATTTAACAGGAGGGGAGAGTCCCTCTGTCCCAGTTCTCCAACCCACCTAAAAGGGCCTTGATTTGATTTGCTCTGACTCCATCAGGCTTCACAAGCTGAAACTGTACTCCCTATTTCTCATGCACCAATAACTGTCTTTCAGTAGGTTTTCCTAAGTGAAATCAAGCAACCTAACAGCGGAGGTATGCTTAAGCATCCCTTATGCCACTCCCTTTTTTGTCTGTCCTTTGTGTGGGTTAGGGGAACTAATTGGGTTGCAGGGGAAAAAAAGCTTCAGAACAGAAACCAGCAACTGGGTTACAACATAGATTCAGGAGAAGTGAGAGAAAATTGAAAGGCAGTGAATGAGCTAAAACATGGCATTTCTTAGTTTTGTAAGTTAGCTCCATGTATTTGTAGGCATTGCTACGTGTCATTTTTAAACATCGTCATTTTAATGGAACAATTGCAACAGCTACATCATTAGTAAAATCCTTGTTGCTTATGAGGTTTAGAAGGAGCTGGCAATACTGCCTGAGCTACAAGACAGCTTAGAGACAGCCGAAAACTTTATTATCCTTTTGGGGAAAATAAGTCTGCTTGGTTTTTTTTTTCTGGAAAACAAAATCATGAGTGAGGATTTGGGTCCAGCCAGATTTCCCACATTGCAACTTCTTTCCAATGCTGGCAGCTCCTTATGGGCCTGCCTGCCTGGGTTTCCCTGTTAAGCATTCACTCTTGCATGTTGTTTCAGTAAGCTGTTTTCAGGCTTTCAGAACAACAGATAAAAGAAGGGAAATACATGTTGTTTTCAAAACACAGTGTGGAATTTCTTGGGACAGAGCGAGCTGTGCAGAAACACAAGCATTTTTCATGTTTGAGGTTGTCAGAATCTGTTGCAGGGGAAAAGTTCAGATATGAATACAAGAGTCTGATGTTTCCCCATCAGGACTGTCCCTCCATTCTCTGGATTCAGGAGTTCCAATTCCAAATGTTAGGTGGGAGTAAGAAGTAAGTGGAAGAGGATGCATCCTCGAAGGACAAAGCAGTGCAGTGAGAGCTTCCCTTGTTGGCAAAACCCTGAGTAAGCAGGTGGGGCTGGCAGAATGCCCTGAAGGTTAATGCAGTCGGTCACCAAGCTGGCGGCGAAGGTGAAGCCCTCCCTTCTGCCCAGCTTCTCAAGAAAGGTGCTCTGAGCAGGCTTCTGGCTGCTGGCTCTCATTTCACCTTGGGTGCTGGGAGAATGAAATGGTAGCTAGGACCAAGACAATGCAAGGCTAAAAAAAGCCAACCAAAAAATCAATGTATATTGATGGCATTTAGAACCGTGTTGGTTTCTTTCTTTGGTGAGCTTCAAGCATCAGCAGGGCCAGTGTTTCCTTTCTTCTTTCCTTTCTTCCCCGAGTGGGCTCAGAGGCTGCTGTTGGCCCACCCAACTGCCCCAGCTGCCTGCTGTGCTTGCTGGGGTTTTATGATGTCTCTGAGGCTATTTCTGGATGACAGGACTATATTAGAGAAATACTGACAAATTTTTTTTAGTGCTAATGCAGGAGCTGTCTAGCTGAGCACAGACAGTGGTATTGTTAATTTTCCAGGCTGTTGCTATCTTATTCTCAGCCGTCCCTAGACATCCTCACCATTTTATGTTTCCTCTCTAATGGCATGAGCCAGGATGTCATAATATTCAAAATCAAATGTACCAGAAAATATAATAAATTAGAGTTGGGCTAGCAGAGTAATTGAAGAATAAACTGAATTTAAACCGAACAGGATTGTGTTATGGACTGATTGCTATTCACAAAATGCACCAGAGGAGTGTGATTTCATCTAGATTTACTATTGATGGCAGCATTTCCTAGATGGCTATTGGCAATAAAGAAATGAAAACGGTGTGAACTTTTGGGTTAGTACCAGAACATAATAATGCAGTAAAGGAAACGTATCATTCCCGTTACACTGCAAAGTGATTCTGGAAGAAAAAATTTCTTGTGTTTTATTTATTTATTTAAGATGTTTAGGTGTATTTAGAAACCCTTGAGTTTATAAAAAGGGAATGCAGGCCTTGGCATAGAAAGAACTGAATTTTCCCTCAACTCTTAATGTAATTCTTCTGTAAGAACCTACTTAGGAAATGTAGGAGTAGCGTGGGTTCCCCACAATTCAGAAATTTGATGTTAAGGACATTTGATGTCCATTTTACAGTTGTTTACCCAGACAGTTTTACAGCAGATAGTCTGCATATTTTTCTTTTAGTAGAATTCTCTATTTTTTATTTCATTAAAACCAGGTAGTGTGCATACGCAATACATTTTAAAAATAACCCTCCAGCTGTGATGTTAGTAGAGATATAGGGAGATGGCATAAGGTCTGAATTCGTGAGCTACAGGTTACCTGAGCTGAGCCCTGTGTTCTGTTCTCTTGAAATGTGAAATGAGATTGAGCTAGTGAAAGGCACCAGTGAAGGTTGCTCATACAACCAGAAGCCAAGGGAAAGCCTGTGGAAATGGAAGCAGTCAGCAGCAGGTACTTGCTAAAAGATAGTAAGTGTTGTCTGAGCTGCTGGGTTGAGGAATCTGCATGGGTTGTACGAGAGCAGGCCCTGTGCTGAGCAGGGCTGTTGATGTTAAGGTAGTCAAACTCCTGGTGTGCAGAGAAACTGAAAAACCATGCTGGACAATACTTTATTTTCTATTTATTCTTATTTTGAGAATGCAAAAGAAATTTTTTAAGGATGAAATTTTTGGAGGCAGTGATCCAAGCTCAAGGCAAG